GGCGGAACACTTTCAAGATCAGTTCAGCTAGCCCTTTGCTCCCGGACCTCTTCCTACTCAAGTGATGCAGGACGAGGCATAGACGGTTACTTTGGAGCCTCCGTCGGAGGCCGAGGTCCGAAACGCGATTACAGCCCTCAATCGTTTTCGTTCCGCTGGCCCGGGTTCCCTTGCACCTGCACTATTTAAGGATGGAGGTGAGGTCCTCTGCAAAGCACTGACCACCCTATTCGAATGTATCTGGAAGGAAGAGAGCCTCCCGTCTTACTGGAGCGAATCGATTATAGTGGCAATATACAAGAAGGGCAGTCGCACAGACTGTTCTAACCACAGGGGTATTAGCCTAACGGAAGTTGTGACAAAATTACTGGCTCGATTCTCGTTCGTCGCCTCACGGTGGAGCGGCAACCTCGGATTAGAGAAGAGCAGGCAGGTTTCCGCCTAGGACGTGGTTGTATAAACCATATATTCACTCTGCGACAGATGCTAGAGCAGCGCCACGCACACCACAGACAGACAATAGCTGTGTTCATCGATTTCAAGAGTGCGTTCGTTTCAGTCGATGGAGCGATTCTGTTCCAAATACTTGCGCGAAAAGGTGTTCCCACGAAATATATGGACATCCTACGTGCTCTATACTGGAACACTACCGTCCGCGTCAGATTCTACGGTGTCCTATCAGATAGCTTTCCACCACAAGTCGCCGATTTCCCCATTTTTGTTCAATATCGTCGTGGACTCGATCACGGAATCTCACGATGTATGTGTTGAGGTTCTACCTTGTGAAAAGTTAGTTGATCTTGGCTATGCGGACGATATCGTCTTGATTTTCGACGATGTTGCGGCGGCACAGTCAACCCTGAATAGCCTGTCTAGAGTGGTCCCATTATTTGGTATGCGCTTGGCGCCTTCAAAGTGTTTCTGCAGGACCACCAGCCACTTTATGACCGCTTGCCTTTTGCTAACGAGGAACTCGATGTGCTTGATCAATTCACTTACATTGGCAGCTGCATCAGCAATGATGGGCACCTAGAAACTGAAGTCAATTCACGTATAGCAAAGGCCAGAACTGCTTTCTTGAATCTGCGGCATCTTTGGCGACAGAAGGGAGTTTCCCTCCGTCTGAAAGGTCGTGTATACAAGGCCACAGGGAAGGCCATCCTGCCCTACGTTAGTGAAACTTGGCCCCTTCGGTCTGAAGATCTGAGGCGCCTTCAAGTCTTTGATCATCGTTGTCTGCGAAGCATTGCTGATGTCGGTTGGCACCAGCATTTCCGCAGTCATGTTGTGCGTAAGTGAGTACTAGGTAGTGATAAGCATGCTTGCTCCCTAGAACAACGGATAGCACTGAATAAGTTGCGTTGGCTTAGGTACGTGTTACGTATGCCTGGTCACCGCTTACCAAGGAGGGCGTTGTTTAGTCTGCCAGATGTAGGATGGCGCAAAGCTCGAGATGGACAGAAGTTGACATGGCAGCGGGAAATGAAGTCACTGCCGACCTAACTGGGTGTTGTTCGTCCTTCCGGGATGGAGTTCACCTGACTTGCCTTGTGCTTGGCTCGTGACTTTACAGGACATGGCTCGAATCAGACACCAGTGGTGCGTCTGCTACCGTCTCCTAATCGGATTGCCTGTTCAAAGTGTGTTTGGTGTTGGGTCTCCCTTCTCTCCTTCTTATTATTCTTTATTTCATAGGTCATCATGGTTGTATGGCAGCGAAGCATCAGTTCACTTGGCTGATGTACTGCTGTTGTATGTACCGATAAGTGAAGAACGTAAGCTCGCCCGCTTGCGATGGTCGTGGCACTGTTGACTCGGTGTAACTCGTGGTGACATTTCTTGAGCGTTGTTCTTAACCTCCTGAGAGCGTTGGAAACAGTAGATAATGATGGGTCGACCCCGATCTCGCTCAGTCGCTGCTGTAGCTGTACCAGAGTGTCTTCGGAATGCCTTTCAGCGCTTTCTTCAACGCGCTGCAGGATATCGGGTGTCAGGTTCTCCTTGTAGTTTCCTCCGCATCAGTGCACAGTGTTCATGCCTTCTTTACTCTAGGCAAGAATGATGTTTCTTGCCGTTCTCTCGTTCATCTCGGCGACTTCAACAGCTTCACGGGTGGTTTTACCGTTGACGAACGCAAGCTGAGTGATGATCACTTTCTGTGTCGTTGATGTTAGCTTGTACCGCCTCGGCCTCGAAGGTGCCTTCTGTCGCTGCCCTTCATTCATTTTTGTCGTCTCGTGCAGCAAAAAGCTAAGAAAGCTTTACAATGTTTGGTGGGGTCATGGTAGCCTGCAATGATCCAATAACAGAGCAGCTGAATGGGTTGGCCCATACACCTACAGCAAATACGCTAGTGCTTATAACGTAACAAAGCAAAATGTACCACCAGCTTCCATAAACGTGAATGATTCCAATGATCGAGAGGAAGGCTTGCACCATTGCCCACTACAAGCACAGTCTCGTTGCATTCGCATGATCAACCTGTGGCGGAAACATCGCCCATCCGAGTTACTCACCTGCCTTGATAACAAACTGCAACTTCAGCCCATCAAAATTACAATGCTTTGGGAAGATTCATCATAGCCTACATTGTTCCAATATTCGAGTAGCTGAATAGGTTCTACCACGCACTCACATAAGATACGCGAAGACCCCTAGAGCGACAAGAGACAACTGGGTCACCATGTCTGATCGAGACAACTGACGCCCATAATCAAGAGGAGGGATTGTTCACTGCTTATGCAGTTACGTTGCATTCGCATAATCGCAAGGTAGCCGGAATATCGTACAGTCCCCTTACTCCCCTGAATTGATAACATGCTACAGGTGAAAACCAATGAAGCTAGACTGCTTTAGGTGGATTCATAATAGCCAACAGTGTTCCAGTGATTGCGCAACATAGATTCGCCCATACACCTACAGGAAATACGCGAAAGCACACAGAGCGACATGAGACGACTGGGTCGCCAGCTTTGCTCGAGGTGAACAACGCCATTGGTCGAGAGGAGGGATTGCACAATCGCCCACTGCTTGCACAGTCCCGTTGCATTTGCTCGAGCGAAATGTGGTCCGAACATCGTCTAGTCATTTTACCCCCTTTCTTCGATAACGACTTACAGCAGTAGGCCAATAAACCTATGGTGTGTTTGATAGATTCATGATGG